CAACGATGAGCTAACTCCACCTTCAAAGATGCCTACGAGGATGAGCTAACTCCACTTTTAAAGATGCCCACAACGATGAACTTTCTCCACTTTTAAAGATGCCTACAACGATAAGCTAACTCCACCTTCAAAGATGCACACAACGATCAGCTACCTCCACCTTCAAAGATGCACACAACGATGAGCTAACTCCACCTTCAAAGATGCACACAACGATGAGCTAACTCCACCTTTAAAGATGCCCACAACTATGAGCTAACTCCACCTTTAAAGATGCCAACAACTATGAGCTAACTCCACCTTTAAAGATGCTCACAACTATGAGCTAACTCCACCGTTAAAGATGCCCACAACGATGAGCTACCCGAACCTTCACAGATGCACACACCGATGAGCTACCTCCACTTTCAAAGATGCAGACAACGATGAGCTACCTCCACCTTCATATAACTGTATAAATGATGTCTTCACAAAATGTAATGTTCAATAATCAAAGTCAGTGGCTTAGCAAGGATGGCCTGCGAATAGGGCATCTTAATATTTACCATTTACTCGGCAAACTGCCTGAGCTGTCGGTTAGACTTAACAATCAGTTTCATATCTTTGGAGTCACTGAAAGTCGTCTAAACAACAAAATTAATGATAAAGAAACCACTATCAGGGGATTTAATTTAATTCGCAAAGATGCAGTAAGAAAATTAGAGACAGGCATAGCAGTGTACATTTCAAACTGTATCAAATATTCCCATAGATGTGATCTTGAATCTATAGCTGTAGAGTGTGTCTGGTTAGAAGTCAAGCCGTCAAATCAGCAGTCAATTTTCATTGGGTACTTATATCGAAATCCTTGTGCAGGTATTGATTGGTATGACGACTTCACTTCTATGATGGATGTAGTGTTTAGTTTAGGAAAAGAAATTATACTGCTAGGAGACTTTAACATTGATAGCAATAAACCTAACCAAGCGTGGGGGGATATAATTATATCGTATAACCTTAAACAGCTAATTAACTTCCCCACGAGAGTTACAAAAACATCTTCAACCACCATTGATCATATTTATGTCTCCTGTCCGGGAAATATTATTGAATGCACAGTTCCTGTTTTAGCTGTCAGCGACCATTATCCGGTGTGCTGTACATGGTCAAAATTTGGCTTTAGGTCTCCTAAAGATAAGCACCTCACGATTAGATTTAGAAATTTAAAAACCTTTAATTCACAAATATTTTTAAACGATTTGCGAAACGCACAGCTGGAGCATGTTTATCAGCTTTCTGAACTGGACGATGCTATAGCATATTGGATAAAAACAGTCTACAAGTTGATTCAACCCAACCCTAATATCAGCAAACGGCTAAATTTATTGCATTTGCCGAAGCCTAGATTAGATCTATATAAAACAAGTTTGTCATATTCTGCTGCTCATTTATGGAATCACCTCCCACTCGATCTGAAAAATATGAGTATGTACTCGTTTAACAGCAGCCTTTTTAAATTCATGCTTACTAGTGATTATAGGCCACCATAGATGAAGTTAATAATTCACATGTATTATCACCTTACTTATATGTATTTTATGTGGGTGGGTGGGTGTAATTGTTAGTGTGTATGTATATATGTGGATATATGTCTGTATTTTTAGGTTTGTGAGTATGTGTGTGTATTTATGTATGTAGGTTGTAAATATATGGGTGTATGTGTGATTGTATATGAGTGTAATTGTGTGTGTGTCTGTATTATGTGTGCATGTATGTATGTATGCAGGCATATATAAGTGAATGTTTGTATGAGGGTGTCTGTTTGTGTGATTAGTTATGTGTGTATGCATGCATATGTGTTTATGTATGTTATGTGTGTGTATGTATGCACGTATGTGTGTTTGTATGCATGTTGGTGGATGTATGTATGTATCTGTGTGTGAATTTATGTGTGTTTGCAAGTATGTATGTATGCTTGTAAGTATGTGAGTGTATGTATGGATGTGTGTATGTATGCATGTGTGTGTGTGTGTGTGTGCGCGCGCATGTATGTCTATGTAAATGTGTGTTTATGTTTGTATGTCGATGTATGTTTGTATTATGTATGCATGCAGATTTAGCTTATGTATGTACACATGTGTATGTGTGCGTATATGTATGTTGGTGCATGTATGAATTATGTATGTCTGTATGTATGAGAATGTATGAATGTAAATGTGTAAGTATGTGATTGTATCTGTGTGTGTATATTTATGTATAATGTGGGTGTATGCAGGTATATGTAGCTGTGTAGGTATGTGGGTGTTTGTGTATTTATAAAAGCATACAAGTGTGCATGTGTGTGTGATTGTGTGTGTATGCATGTGGATATATGAAAGTATATTTAGGTATGTATGTATGTGTGTAAAGATGTGAGTTTAGGTATAAATGTGTGGATATATGTATGCAGACAACGATGTGCTACTTCCAAATTCAAAGATGCAGACAACGATGAGCTACTTCCACTTTCAAAGATGCCCACAGCGATGAGCTACCCGCACCTTCACAGATGCACACACCGATGAGCTACCTCCACCTTCAAACATGCACACAACGATTAGCTACCTCCACCTTTAAAGATGCACACAACGATGAGCTACTTCCACCTTCAAAGATGCACACAACGATGAGCTACTTCCACCTTCAAAGATGCACACAACGATGAGCTACTTCCACCTTCAAAGATGCACACAACGATGAGCTACTTCCACCTTCAAAGATGCACACAACGATGAGCTACTTCCACCTTCAAAGATGCACACAACGATGAGCTACTTCCACCCTTAAAGATGCACACAACGATGAGCTACTTCCACCTTCAAAGATGCACACAACGATGAGCTACTTCCACCTTCAAAGATGCACACAACGATGAGCTACTTCCACCTTCAAAGATGCACACAACGATGAGCTACTTCCACCTTCAAAGATGCACACAACGATGAGCTACTTCCACCTTCAAAGATGCACACAACGATGAGCTACTTCCACCTTCAAAGATGCACACAACGATGAGCTACTTCCACCCTCAAAGATGCACACAACGATGAGCTACTTCCACCTAGTATTGGGGTTATGTATTTGAGTCTTTCTCTTTTTCTTAAAACCGCAGAACAATATAACTAGAATGTCTTTGCATTAAAACCCACAGAGGTATAGGAATAAAAAAGGCAAAAAAAAAAAATAATTTTTTTTTAAAATAAACGCAGGGAGAAGGGAGCTGGAGAATGAAGTTAGAAAGATGGGGAGGACATGGGGAGAGCTGCGTGTGATAGCAAAGGATACAACGACTTGGCGTAAGTTGGTTGAGGGTCTATGCTCCATTGGGGACTAGAAAGGCAGAAGAAGAAGACCCTTCTCAGGTAATGGTTGAAAAAAAAATCAGAATACGTATGTGAGAGTTTGCTGCAGTGTTCAACATTTTTTTTTTTTTAGTTTCCAGAAGCCATGAATTGTTAACCCTTAGGCCCGGTATTATGGACATCGCAATCCTTCAGCCTTGATTCCATGAAAGATACCGTAAATCTGGGAGAAATGTGACTTTTCTGCCTACCCCCGGGGTATACCCGGACCACAAGGAGTTCGGTACCCGGTCACCGCGCAGTCCGGTTTAGCCAAATACGCTAGCGAGCCGGGCTTATAAAGAATATAGGTGCTGTTATGTGGACAGTTACCCGGACATCGTTTACATATTGCTAACAAATTGGTTGCGGACAGAAGAGAAAAAAAAAAGGAGGGAGGTGGAATGAAGAACATTGCAGAATTACTAATGTGGAACTAATGTGGCCCAACTGCTGCCTTCTGCTAGCTTGAAAATCATCTGTACACACATGCCAGGACTGTCACTGACTCACAGAGTATGCTCCATGCAGAGTGCAAAGCATCACTTCAGAGGTCGCGGGTAGTTAATGTCTGTTGGATATTCTCTCCAGGTTATGACGATGGGTTGGGAAATGAACAGACAGATAGACTGGCCAGTTCGGCCATTGCGATAGCGCACATAGATCTAAAGTCTAATGAGAATGACGCTGCGAGGAGTTCATATAGGATCTGCCCGACGCTCAACACTCCAGGAAATGGCAAGACAGATATTCAATTAGACAGCTATTATTGCCATCGCAATTTGAACTCTTGTTTGCTGCTGAAGATTGGGACTGATCACTTATGGGAGTGTCCTGAGTGCTTTGATGTCGGTTCTAAAATAAAGACTGTACAGTCCACACAGTAAGTTACAAGAATTGACATCACAGCACTCAGAACACTCCCATGCGTCCTCATCTTCAGCTACCAGCACAGAGTTCCAATACTGATGGTACCGGTCACAATCTGGTTATAGGTCTGACTCCTTTCCACTGAGTGTAGCGAGTCTGCCAAACCCTCTGGTTACAACCAGGTGCCTCATTCTCTCCAGGCCATAAAAATCTTGTTTCTCTACTGATTCTGTTACTTGTTCCTAAAGGGCATTGACCACATCTGCCTTGTCATGCATCTGTTCACCACCCAGTGGTGCATGTCAAACAGGGCCACAAACTCCTTAGCGCATTATGCTGGGTGTATGGTTTTCAACTCAGAGATTCAAGTTCCACAATTGAAAACAACATGTCTCTTGAATAGTGTTATGCATTTAATGAATATGGTTGAACAGTGTGTGGATCATAGATCGTCAAAGGCATGATCGCCCACACCGGTCGGTAAGGCACTTGATGATGACAGTGCTGATAACTCAACTCTTTACCCATACTTAAAAGAATCTTATCAGACATTTCTTAACAAATAAATGTCTGTTAAAATCACAAACAATCAAGAAAAAGAACACACAATTGCTCAGGTCGTTTCTGCAACGTCTCGTTAACGCGACACAAGCAACATTTATTGTTTCGTTTTTCTGAATCGGAATCTTTTTTTAAAATTGCTGTTGGCTTATTTAAAAGTAAGGATTCCAGTTTTTTCACATTCCGCCGGCTCCATTTTGTCATGGCACCATGACGTTCTGGTGTTGTAAGGCAAAACCAAATGCAGACAAGTCGGACAAACGGAAATCCAGTGTTAAATCGGTAGGCGATGATTTAATGGTTATTGCTGTCGTTATTTTTGTTGTTCCTCTTCTTCTTGCTCCGCAGAGTGGCATGCTTCGCTGCAGATGACACAAGTGAGGAGTATTGTCTAGACTTTCACCGGGTCACGCTGGTGTGTTGGGAAATGAGCAGGCGGACAGACTGGCTGGCTCTGCACAACTTGGTGGAATACTGATACATGATAAGGCGGTCGTGGTTAGTGCCTTGTGGGAGAGCGTGTACAGTTCGGAGAAGCAGATGGATCACTACAGTCTTGTGAGATTGATGCAGGGGGGAGTGACGAGAGGTTTAGGCAGATGCTCGAGGCTCAGAGGAAAGGCAAGACAGACGTTTAATCAGAAGGCTACTGGCACTGTTAATATCGGAACTCTTCTCTGGCTGCTGAAGATGGGAACGAAGCGCTTATTGGATTGCCCCGAGTGTTGTGATGTCAGTTCTTGAATCGAATCCAATCAAACCAATTCTTCTTGTTCTTTATTTGCTGCGTTAGCCATTAAAAAAGATGGTAGTATTTTCATGGCCTGGGTTAAAGCTAGGCTATGTTATCTGCAGCGTTTTACTCCACACATCCACAGCCTCTGATTAGTAACCATTTACCAGATCCTCGTAACGGAGCAGAAGTTCAGTGTATTCCCCTCAGATGGGCTTCAGCATGGAAATGAGAGAAGCTGTGTGAGTGACCAGAAGAGATGCAATCAGGGATGAAGCCATGAGAGAAAAAGCAAGCATAGAAATGCTGATTGACACCTTTCCGTCTTTCCACACGATAGTGTTTTATTGCGCTATGAGGCTCACAGCCCATGGCGATGGCGAGTGTGACTAGCAAGACCCGCCCGTGTCAAGAAAAGTCTTTCACAATGATAGCATGGGATTTCAGGACCATTGTTGTCAGCATTTGTGTTTAATTCGTTTCTTTTCAGACGCTCAGCTCTTATCCCTTCTGCAATCATGTCTTCTTTCAATCACATCCCCTTTCTTATATGCCCTTTCCACACAACACGGTCCATGGTAGTTTGTTCCCATGAGTCCACCTCAATACCTGTATCATTCATGGCTCGCTTGCACAGATCTTAATACCGTAGTAGAAGTCAGCCTCGACATCTTCTTCCTGTCTTTATACCGTAATACTAAAATTACATACAATAAACAGCATTTAAAGTGGTTTTTTTAACCTCCGCTCCTAGGTCGACCAGCCTTAAATGGTATCAGTGAAAGTCCTGGAGAATAAAGGCGGTCGGTTTGATTTGACCACATTACTAACCGAGTGCCTTTTCGTCTGTAACATGTAGATCAAGCTCTATATGCCCTACACAGAAAAAGGTTTGGAAAAGGGCCTTTTACTTAGCTATTATAACTCGCAAATCAGGCTCCGGATAAAAGGCCATCGTTGCTTGCGCTCTGACTGGCTTGAATTATTTGACAGAACTTGAGTAACAAAAAAAAAGATAATGTTAACATTCTGCTTGCGAAACTAGGTCGTGTGTGGTACTGAGCATGTTGATAGATGCGCTGCTGCCGCTCCACTGGCCGGCGAGCTAATCTTTGATGTAGCGGACGTAGGGGAGTTCCCGTCAGCATCCCACGATTGATAGTCCTAGTCCTATGTTGTTTGACAAGACTTCTCTTGCGTCCTGTGTGCTTTTTGTGCCTGGCTGTGCCGATCTTTACTCACAATTCTTGCACTTTTAGCAAAGAAGTGGATGTGCAGTTCCTAAAACCCTCCGGTTGTCCTACCTCTCTAATGGCATTAACAATGGACGGACTCTCTGTAACTAAGGCAGAGCCGGCCAATCTGTCGACTCATTCATTACCAACAACACCCGCATAGCCTGGGACAAAGATGAAGGTAACTCCACGCACAGTGGAGTTTTACACTGACTCGATCCATTGTCTGCGTACAAAGCCCGCCTTGACCCACCGGATCATGCTCATGGAATCATACACACCCTGGAAATAATTCGGGGGTGGGGGGGGTGAGGGGGGGGGGGGAGGACCTCGGCTCCAACCTCTCGAAAATGTACGTGTGGTACCCTAACCATGACTAAATGTTCTCATGTATGTGTTCATATATTTCATGTTATTATATAAATAGAATTTTATTTTTTTGCCATTCAGTACCTAATAATAATTTATAATCGTTATTATTACAGACTTAAAGACGGCCTCAGTGCATTGCACTCCGCCCTCCCCGAGGGCTAAAGCTCCCCTTCCCCACCGCAAATATTTGTTTATGTGGCAGCGTGCCTGCAGCTGTTGTTAGTATAAAGCCATAACTCCTAAAAGCATGTCGTAAAAGGCTACTGATTAAGGGTTTTTTCTTCTAAACTGGATTGCACCTGTTTGCCGAGACTATTCCGCAGACCTCCACTCTGCATACAAAAAAGCCATATCTGTAAAATGAAGGTGCGGGCAGAAGTCAAGTTCTGGAACAAAACCAACGTCCAGAAGTGGACGAACAACCAGAACCTTCCACCGACAGTCACAACGAAGAAGGAGCTAACGAATAATAGGAGGAAGCGGAAACTAGAGGAAAAGAAGATGGGGATAATGATGAGGAGGAAGAATAAGAAGGAAAATAATCATTTGTGTTTGTATACAATTGGGGCATGTTGTTTTGTAAGTGTTTGACAGACTGACGTTCAACTCCATCAGAAAAGCAGAACGCGCAGTAAACTCGCGGTGACACAAAGTGTCACTATGGGATGGAAAACACCGGGGCACAAGTCCCAGAAACCCCCTTCAATCCGTAGGTTATATTTGGAGCCTAAAATGATAGGAGAGGTGGGGGGTTTTAACAAAAAATGTGTCCAACATTGGGACGGGAATTAATTTATAAGTGTCATCGGCCATAGTAACTAACAACGACTGTTTGAAAGAAGCTAATGAAAGTAGATTTCTATATACAACAATAAAAAAAAGACAAACACTGTTTTTGGCCACATGATGAGAAGAGAGACATTGGAGAACATCGTGACAACTGGAAAGATCATTGCGAAGAGGGGTAGAGGCAGATCAAAAGAGACGATGCTGGATGGGCTGAAACGATAGCAAAGAGGGATATTATCAAGAGAGCTGTTCCAGGCAACCAGAGATCGTGATCAGTGGAGATGAATGAGCGCCAACGCCAGTTGGCAGGGCACATGATGATGATGATGATGATGATGATGATGATGATGATGATGATGATGATGATGATGATGATGATGATGATGATGATGATGATGATGATGATGATGATACTGAATCAAAACAAATTGGGATGTCTTTGTTTCTTTCAGAACCAAGCATGCATGGCGGGTAACTATGGCAACGTTGAGGTCGTTTTGATTGAAATTTGTATTTACACAAATTTGTTTGATTGTTACATACGAGGGTTTTTGATGCCGCAGCGGCGTAGAAGTTAGACTCTTCACAGCCGGTACACAGGTCGTGGGTGTCAATCCTCATCTCTTTGAGTTTTCAAATTGATGTTGGCTGTCCGGTCTCTCCAGCCCAATGTTGTCTTTGTTGTTGTTTTTATTGTTGTTGTTATCGTTGCTGTTGGTATTGGTGTTGTTATTATTGTTGTTGTTATTGTTGTTGTTGTTGTTGTGTTGTTGTTCTTCTTCTTCTTCTTCTTCTTCTTCTTCTTCTTCTTCTTCTTCTTCTTCTTCTTCTTCTTCTTCTTCTTCTTCTTCTTCTTCTTCTTCTTCTTCTTCTTCTTCTTCTTCTTCTTTTTTTTCTTCTTCGTCGTCGTCGTTGTCATCGTTGTCATCGTCGTAGTCGTCTTCTTCTTGTTTTTCCTCTTCCTTGTCTCTCTCTCTCTCTGTGTGGGGGAGGGTCTGTGTGGGGGAGGGTCTGTGTGGGGGAGGGTCTGAGAGGGGGAGGGTCTGTGTGGGGGAGGGTCTGTGTGGGGGAGGGTCTGTGTGGGGGAGGGTCTGAGAGGGGGAGGGTCTATGTGGGGGAGGGTCTGTGTGGGGGAGGGTCTGAGAGGGGGAGGGTCTGTGTGGGGGAGGGTCTGTGTGGGGGAGGGTCTGTGTGGGGGAGGGTCTGTGTGGGGGAGGGTCTGTGTGGGGGAGGGTCTGTGTGGGGGAGGGTCTGTGTGGGGGAGGGTCTGAGTCGGTGAGTGTCTGTGTGGGGGAGGGTCTGTGTGGGGGAGGGTCTGTGTGGGGGAGGGTCTGTGTGTGGGAGGGTCTGTGTGGGGGGGGGTCTGTGTGGGGGAGGGTCTATGTGGTGGAGGGTCTGTTTGGGTGAGGGTCTATGTGGGGGAGGGTCTGTGTCCATCTATGGTTAGACGGGTCGATAGATTTGAGGATTGATGTGTGTGTGTGGGGGAGAGTCTGTGGATATATGGTGAGACGGGTCGATAGATTTGAGGATTTATGTGTGTGTGTGTGTGTGGGGGGGGGGGGGGGTGTGAAACTTGCAGAATCGTCATCACAGCAAAAAAGGATTGTCAGAACTGATAAAAAATGTTTAAGATCTTAAGAAGTGGAGAGGTATGATTGCCAAACGCCAGTCGAAAGGCAATAGTAATTATGGTAGCCAGTAAAAGTAATTAGAAAATAATATTGTTATCTTTAGAGTAATAAAAATAGGTTGTATTTCATGGGGGGGTGGGGGGGGGGGGAGACTTTGGAATGAAGAGGTTCCGAACTTATGTAAAATAAAAAGATAGTTGTCAAAATAAATTAAAAAAGAAATTGGATTGTTTTTAACATTTAAGAAAATGTAACACTCTACAAACACCACACTGGGTGGGGGCGGCTGGGCGGGGGTTTGGGAGAAACAAGTTGAAGGCAAGAGAGCAAAAGCTAGGCAAGGATACAAGTGAGAGAACATCATCAGCAGATCAACGAACGACAGAGTGAGTGTACTGGGAGTATATTGCAGATCCATTGCAGAAACCTTCTTTATAGAGTCAGAACCTGACAGACTGATTGAGGAAGGTGTACCCGTACATGCCATTGACGCATCGCGCATAACCTGATTGACTCACATTTGTATTGATTATTCTGTTTGTTTGCAGTCTGCTGCTGTAAATCCTACTTTTGCTGGTTCCGGAGCCTGATCCTATCAAGCATGTCGTAAGAGTCGACTATTTATGGATGGTTCAATAAATAACTGAGAGTTAAAGAACTAAAAATTCTGCATACAAATAAGCCAGAATTCTTAAATGGATTTGTAGGCCAAACCTAGGTTCTGGAACAGGACTAAAGTCTAGAAGTGGATGAACAGCCAGAACTTTTGATCGGAGGACATGATCTGGTGGCCATTTTAGGTCGGGTTTACCTGGAATAGTGTACGGGTATGAATGAATAAATGGTAAACTCTATGAATCAAAAAATTAATGAATGAGTGAATGAATGAATAAATTGAGTTTATTACTTCTTCTGCTAGTCTATGTCGTGTGGCGTTAGAATCATCTAATTGTCTACAACCTTCTGTCGAGTGTGCTTTCAAGTCAACTCCGACACAGAGACTCTTCTATGCCATGATGTCAGACCATCTGACATCTTCTCTCCCGGTCTTCCTGTACATCTTTTACCCTCCAACTTCCGGATAGGCACGATGTACTTCAGTTTCCTCCTTCTCATGACACTACCAAAGAATGTAGATTGTCTCCCCCTTCTCATGACACTACCAACGAATGTAGATTGTCTCCTGCTTCTCATGACACTACCAAAGAATGTAGATTGTCTCCTGCTTCTCATGACGCTACCAAAGAATGTAGATTGTCTTCTGCTTCTCATGACACTACCAAAGAACGTAGATTGTCTCCTCCTTCTCATGACACTACCAAAGAATGTAGATTGTCTCCTGCTTCTCATGACACTACCAAAGAATGTAGACTGTCTCCTCCTTCTCATGACACTACCAAAGAACGTAGATTGTCTTATCCTTCTCATGACACTACCAAAGAATGTAAATTGTCTGCTCCTTCTCATGACACTACCAAAGAACGTAGATTGTCTCCTCCTTCTCATGACACTACCAAAGAACGTAGATTGTCTCATCCTTCTCATGACACTACCAAAGAATGTAGATTGTCTCATCCTTCTAATTCTGCGGATCTGTTCTCCTTGTGAGTCACTTTCTTTCAAGACGTCTTCATTACCCCTTTAAAAAAAATTGTCAGGGTATTCTCATCATTCTCTATATCCCCGCTTCTCAAACTGTTTTACGCCGTGCACCCTTGCCTAGCAAAAACATTCGCGGTCCACCTAACCTTAAAGCGGGTTGGAAGCTTAGGAAAAGAAGATAGAACAGTACAAATTCAGTTGTTCAGCTGACTTTAATGCAATGAAGGAAAATGTTTGGATAAACTTTTTTATTATTTCATTTATGTTTATGTGAAGTTTAGTTAATTGTACCCTCCAATCACATGAGGGTTGCTCCTGTATCTGTTTTTTTTTTTTTTTAGCGTGCGTTGAGAATGTACAGCAGATTTGCCAGTAGCATTATTTTCTGAATACACCTGCATCTTCTTGGCTTCCTCCATGGTATTTCTGTTTTAAACTGCTGTCTTCGCTGATTTCAAGCAGATTTTGAAAAATTCTCGTTTATTTCCCCGGCACCCCTGGTATTTGCTCATGGCACCCCTGGTATTTGCTCATGTCACCCCTGGTATTAGCTCATGGCACCCCTGGGTGCCGCGGCATCCAGTTTGAGAACCGCTGGTATATAAAACCAGTCTCCATCCGCTTGCAAATAATTCTTCACTGATCTTCCAGCTGTTCATGATTCACTTCCGTATATCAGAATATGATGGGCTTCATAAACTTCTTGATAATTCTCTTTCTCCAATACACTCGGAGGAATCCCCTTATAACCTTTTCCTATTTCCGGTGTAGCCAAAGAAGAGTTCACACACTGATGGTACGAGCTGGAACTTCATTAGAAGTCCCCATGTGTGTGCCATCCATCATCCATCATGTAGCAGGTCCTTTGCAGAAAGTCGCTCTCATCACAGTCTGCCTGAAAGAAACTCGGTCTCTCGCCATTTCTCCCACCTCATGTACTTTCATACCCAAGGAGTCACTTATATCTTGTGCCCATCATCGGCCCCTGCCCCTCCTTCCTGTTACCATGCCTTGTGCTTTAATTTTTTCCAATCTGTCGTGGCGCTTCATATGACCAAAATATTTCAGCTTCCGAGACAGGATGCTCCTTATTAGCCATTCTTTCTTGATGTTCAGATCTTTCAAGATGTCAGTATTTCTCCTCTTCTTTGTCCAAGCTATTCTGAGAATCTTTCTTTAGCATTTCAGCTCAAAAGCTCCTATTCTCTTTCTTAAGGATTGAGAGATAGTGACAAAAAAAAAAAAAAAAAATTAATGCAAGCATAAATCAATAAAAGGACACCGATCCATTGACTTGGGTGGTCTGTTCATTGACTTGGGTGATCTGTTTATTGACTTGGGTGATCTGTTTATTGACTTGGGTGATCAGTTCATTGACTTGGGTGATCTGTTCATTGACTTGGGTGATCTGTTCATTGACTTGGGTGATCTCTTCGATAGAAATCAAAGACCTGTTCGACCTCTTCGACCAGGATCACAACGGGGTGGTCACGAAGGACGAGATCCTCAGGACGTTCACCAGCCTGCGGTTGCCCATAACCGAGCAGCACGCGGAGAAGCTCATCAAAGAGTTTGATAGAAACGGTGGGTTTGTGTGGCGTATCATCATCATCATCTTTATCATCAGCATCGTCATATTCATCATCATCATAATCGTTATCTTCATTATCATCGTCATCATCATCATCATCATCATTATCATCATCATCACCTTCATCACAATCGTCGTCATCAACATCATCCTAATCTTCATAATCGTTATAATCGTCCTCATCATCTTTATCATCATCAGCAGCATCATCGTCATCCTCCCCCTCGTAAAATCACCATCATCATCATCCTCCTCCTCGTCATCATCATCATCACTATAATTATCATTACCATGATTATCATCATTTTTTTTCCATTGTCATTCTTGTCACCGGGTAGGTTCTGGTGCCCAAGTTTGGGGGAAAAAGAATGGACACCCCCCACCCCCGCAATGCCCCCACCCCCCCCCCACCCCCACCGCAATTCCCCCCCCCCCCGCCCTCTCCCCAAAAAACAAACATCTTGCAGTGACAAACGTATAATTAAGGGGGGTTTACTTCAAAGTCAGGATGCATCGGATGCATTCGCCTGAAAGGAAAGAGACTATTAGTTTGCATTCAGTTAAGTGAGACTTGTCAAACGGATGTACACGTAACACTTAAATTCTAGGCCCTGACTAAAGCCTGGAATTGGAACATATACTAGAACTATTCGTATGGGAACGCTGTACACACAATTGCGGTTGTTGTTATCAGCATTATCACAGTTAGGACGCTGGGCTGTCAAGTTGGAGACGCAGGTTCAAATCCTCGGTAAGGCGGGGGATTTTTTTGTTCTGTCGGCGCAAAATAAAATCCTCACCTGCACAGTCGTAACGACAGCACTAGCCATGGGGCCATAAATTCTCAGGCTCACAGACCCCCCTGCTTACATCGCAAAAGTGATAAAATAAAGACAGTAATTGGCAGTTTTCAGCAGTATCATTTTTTTTCGTCGCCTTATCATCATCAGTTGTTTTATTTATTATATTCTTTGTTAGGCTTAGTCATGATATAAACCTGTGTTTAATGTTTGTGAATGTAATTGTTGAATATTTATTTTTCTAAACGGTTGTCCTCCACCTTCTTCTCGTTCACTGGCTGTAAACTCCGGCGGAAGGTTTTGGTTGTTCATCCACCTCTGGACTTTTGTTTCAGAACCTGAGTGTTCCGTTCTTATCCCTTTCACAGATCTCACATTTTCGTATGCAGACAGAAGGTTCCTGTCCTCTCAGGTAGACACACTCCGACTTTTAAAAAAAACCACTTCCCTCAGTTAGTCGACTCTCACGACATGCTTGCTGGGAAGGCAGCGGGTAAATTCTTGTTTTCCCCACAATGTGGCCTGAAACGCACACTAGGATCTGTAGGATAAACAATTCAAGGATGAGAATTGTTTTAGAACCTGAGTGTCGCGTTCTTATTCCTTTCACAGATCTCAGATTTGTGTATGCAGACAGAAGGTTCCTGTCCTCTCTAGTAGACACACTCCAACTTTGAAAGAACCTCTCCCACCCCCCGTTAGTCGACTCTTACAACATGCTTGCTGGGGAGGCAGTGGGTAAACTCTTGTTTTCCCAACAATATGGCCGATAACGCACACGGGGATCTGTAAGATTAACAATTTAGGGATAAGAATAAAACAAGTACTAAATCAAGACTACCCTGTTCATTCCTTTATCTGATGGAACTAGCAGTCATACTTGCTGGCCCTCTACCATGTTTAATTATTACAATCGGGGGACTGAGCACGCACGGGGATGCCCTGTGTGCAAATAGATGGACTGTGACAACAAAACATACTATAACTTGCTGTTCGTGCACCGCTGAGTGTAAACTAATGCTTGACCATGAAGACGTGGTTTAGGATCTTTTGAGAGCATATCAACCGTACGTGGCGTCCGTGGCTCAAGCATTGCGAGTCCGACTCGTAATTCCATATTACCGCGATCGAAACGCATTGCTGGCTGTGTGGATTTTTATCGTGGTATGGGGCGTCGCAGGTCGACCCAGCCTAAAATGGGTACCAGGGTGTATGTCCTGGGGTAGTAAATACGTAATGCTGACCATATTACCAACCTAGTGCCGATTGGTCTGTAAAAATATGGGTGCTCTTCCTATATGCCCGATGTGCCTAAAGGCATGAAAAGGGATCTTTACTTTTTATTTTACCTACTTACATCAACCGTACGGAAGAGTACAACAGAATAGTAATGCCAGGTAAAGAAAGGTAATAAAGAATGCAGCAAAAAGTTAACATGCACAGGCTGGAGGATATGCCGTCAACATGACGCCTTTGTCGTTTCATTCCCTATACAATTTCCTTGTACTCAGTTTAGAGCTGGTCGACCTCAAAGGCCAGGTTTATTTTATACATCCATATCGATACAGAGACCCAGCCTTGAGTGGGTGTCAGGTGCAGTCCTGGAAAGTAAAGGCGGCTGCCAGTAGGTTTCAGATGAGGACACAGTTGTCTGTAAAGTCTGTGGTGCGAAACAATTCTTCCACTATTACGTACAGCTTGGCTTCAATCGGAGTGTCAATTGGCTAAACCTGAGAGCCGTATAAATATTTTATATACATACATACAAACAGACAATGTTTTGGCTGACATTCATCGATGAAAGTAGAAAGATAAACGGACACAACTATACAGTGCATTATAAATATTTATGTGGCTTATGTTCAGGATATCGTTTAAAAAATATAGTCATTTTATATTTCTCAGGCGATGATGAACTGGAGTTCATGGAATTCGTTAGCTTGATCAGGAAGTACCTCAGCGACACCGACTACCCAACGCAGGGCATGTTCAAATACTTCGATCGCGATGGCGACGGATACATCACTCTTGATGAGTTTGTCAAGTCCATGAGATGCGTGGGTAAGTGAGGCACGAGTTTGTCAAGTCCATGAGAGATACACGGGTGGATGAGACACGAGTTTGTCAAGTCCATGAGATGCGTGGGTAAGTGAGACACGAGTTTGTCAAGTCCATGAGATACACGGGTGGATGAGACACGAGTTTGTCAAGTCCATGAGATGCGTGGGTGGATGAGACACGAGTTTGTCAAGTCCATGAGATGCGTGGGTGGATGAGACACGAGTTTGTCAAGTCCATGAGATGCATGGGTGGACGAGACACGAGTTTGTCAAGTCCATGAGATGCGTGGGTAAGTGAGACACGAGTTTGTCAAGTCCATGAGATGCGTGGGTGGATGAGACACGAGTTTGTCAAGTCCATGAGATGCGTGGGTGGATGAGACACGAGTTTGTCAAGTCCATGAGATGCGTGGGTGGATGAGACACGAGTTTGTCAAGTCCATGAGATGCATGGGTGGACGAGACACGAGTTTGTCAAGTCCATGAGATGCATGGGTGGATGAGACACGAGTTTGTCAAGTCCATGAGATGCGTGGGTGGATGAGACACGAGTTTGTCAAGTCCATGAGATGCGTGGGTGGATGAGACACGAGTTTGTCAAGTCCATGAGATACATGGGTAAGTGAGACACGAGTTTGTCAAGTCCATGAGATACGTGATTGGGTGAGACAATTAATTTGTCAAGTCCATGAGATGCGTGGGTAAGTGAGACACGAGTTTGTCAAGTCCATGAGATGCGTGGGTAAGTGAGACACATGTTTGTCAAGTTCATGAGATGCGTAGGTGGGTGAGAGACGAGTGTGTCAAGTCAATGAGATACGTGGGTGGATGAGATACGAGTTTGTCAAGTTAATAAGATGTTTGGGTAGGTGAGAAATGAGTTTGTCAAGTCCATGAGAT